AGAAGCCTTATCCTTTATGGCAATATCCAGCACACAAAGCCTGCCCGCCGGATCCACGAAGACAAGAGAACACACCGCATCCAGAGACTTGCTCACCAGCCAGGAAACACCCCTCGAACATCCATCAAAACATGAATATAGGACGAATCTTAGACAGAATGTCCTCATGATCATGAGATAAAAAAAACAGGTCTCCTGTACACAACATACATCCACTTCAAGGCGCTGAAGATCGTGATCTAGTCTTGCCCTTCAAGACTCTGACCTTAGGTCCCGGACATTCAAACTTGCTAACCAGAGTGCCATTATCAGACTAAATTAGGGTTGGAACACTGGTTTGAACATGGTCGGGGTAAGGATACCGACAGCCTCTCCCACAGACCGATGGCCCATCTCAGTCTTGATGGTACGGTCTTGGGAGATTCCGCCTATATCCCATGGAAATGTCAATTTAAGAACTCTATAGAGGCAGGTGTGAACTAAAACTGACCCTCTCAAAAAAATTGTTTCATTCTTTTCAGTTTTTCATTCTGAACTATAGCAATTGGCGTGGACATTTTAAAAGAGGCTATGGCTTCATCAAGCATGGCCTAAGCCTGTTTAGCCCCCCCAGTTCCTCATAACAGTTAGTACTCTCTCCGCATTGGGAAAATTTTGGGGCTCTTCAATATTTTTTTCTGCGAAATGCTTCATGGATAAAATATATCTCAAGTCTTTAATCCGGTTCCCGTAATCTCGAGTTTTTTCAGCTTGGGCAGTGGATATTCGGCATACATCTTCACTGGGTTGAAGATGTGTTTCTGCCTTTTCCTGTTAGCCATTGAGTCCTGCGTGGGGCTTCTAAGTCTTTTGATTTGGGGAGGGGGCATTTCTGGAGTTTTAATGGGAGAAGGACTGGAGGTGTGACGAGGGGTATAAATTTGTCTGAAAGGGTTGGGGTCTCTACTGAGAGGGGTTGGGGTATGGGACAAAGATGTGGATGGAGTGGCAGGTAAGGACTTTTCTCTACAAAGAGGGGTTGAGGGATGTGAAGAATGAGATGGGTCAGAGGGTGTGGAGGGAGTGGCCTTCTTTGTGGAGACAGTCTGACTGCAGGTAGAGGGCTGGGAAGACTGAGTTGAATGTAGTGGATGTAGAGGGAGGTGCTTTCTTTATGGGGGAGGATTTTGTTTTTCATTGCTGGTCTAATTTAACTTTTAATTTTTTGGATTTTTTTGTCTTCTCATATCCGGGATCATATTTTTTTTAAGATCTTTCAGGGTCAGTACTGATGCTGGGGCATCACCCTTTCTGTTCACAGAGGGAGTGGGACTGTTAGTGTCTTTTTTTGTCCCAGGGGGCTTCAGGGGACTGAGGACCCGCTGTCTGATGCTTCTCTCTGGCCCTGACAGCAAGCAACCTGCCATTCCCCCTCTCCCTTCCACAACTGCACTTGCAGCAGGAGAAGGCACCTTGGGAATGGGGGCTTAGATGTAGGCCCAACCAAGGGTTTAACCACTCCGGTCCCGGAAGCTGGCATGCCCATTACAGGCGAGGTGGATTTCAAAGATGCGGTCAGAGGGGAGTTTGGTCAACTGGGGCCTGACTTCCAGAGGCCTTCTTCTCTCTGGGCAGGAAGGTGAAGTGTGGAGGGTGACCAGCCTCTCCACACTTCCAACAAACTGGTTTACAGCCGGTCACTATGACTGGCAGTTCAGGCCCCAACATCCAGACAGTTGGGGATGGAGATGAAGGCTTTACGGTCCAGCATGATGTCAAAACTCAACCCCCCAGTCAAGCTATCGCAGGAATTTTTTCCAAGCACTGGGACAAGAAAGCCGCCAGGTGTTCCCCGATACCCTGAGGAGGGACCTCATATATTGCTACATGGTCCTCCTCCTGCCTTCATACTGTGTTTGGAGTATCAGATCTTTTGTGATTAGATCATGGCTTGTTGCTTTTAGACAATCTTCTTGTGTGGGTAGCAATACGTCCCACATGAAGAAGCCTTTGCCCTTAACGATTCACAGTGGCTTAAACCCCAGGGACTCTAGTGATTTTACCACTGTGTCTTTTGTCGAACGACAAATTTTGTGCAAATGCTTGTCGACGACAAAGACCAACACTATTCTTTTATCAATCTTCTTTAGTTCAACTGGATCCTCCAAAATCCCACCTTCTAAGACAAGGTGTGTGTAACTCTTGGCATATTCCAAGAACTCTGCAATATCGATGATACATTTTGGCGGGGACTTCCAACAACAGGGCGAATCCCTCAGTGTTTGTCTTATTTTTTGGCCATTCTTGGCCTCCATTAATTTTGGGTTTTTGGCCATTAATGGCCATTATTGGCCACTTGAGTTTTTGGTTTTTTCTTTGCCATTATTGGCCTCCAAACTTTCTATTTTGGTCTCCACTAAATGGCCTCCTCACTAGAAGAAGAAGATTCTAAAGGAGGGTATTCATTCTGGGTTGTCCTTATCTGGAGGGTCTTTTTGGGATTTAAAAGGTGTTTTCTCACTGACTTTCTAAAGTTGCCATTTTTTTATTTTATTTTTATAATTAAAAAAAGAAAACACTCTTTTTCTTTCTTTTCCATTTTTAAAAAAAGGGGGGGTGAAAAAAAAATTCGCATAAGACGAGAGGAAAAAAAGAACAAAAAACACACAAAGCTCACCCGAAAGCGAGACGGCAAGTCAAAAAAATTGTACAAGAAATATATACCAAATGAACAAGGTTCATCGAAAGGCGAAAAAAAAAATTTTAAAAACCGCAAAAAAAAAAAGCACAAAACAGACGGACGTAAAAAAAAACGACAAGAGACGGAAACAAATGAATAAAGTTCGCCTAAAGGCGAGATAAGTTTAAACGTACAAAAATGAAATAGACAATAGACAAGAACAAAAAACAAGGTTCGCCTAAATAAATTTAAACAGTAAAAAAAAGAAAACACAAAAACGGAAGGACGTGCAAACATATTAAATAGACAAGAATAAACAATAAAACGAAACGCTATGCAAAGAAAAAGGAAAACGTTATACAAAAAAATACGAAACAATACTATGTAAAGCTATACAAGACGCTAAGAACGAGTCAATCCAATAACAAATGAAAACAAAAAATGGACAAATTAGACAATATAAACACAAAAAAAATTAGAAAAAATATGGACACAAAATTTAAAACAAAAACACGGAAAACTTAATGGATATTTAAAAGAAAACAGGCAATACACGAAGTAACGCGTAACAATTAAACAAAGAATAAAATAAAGTCAGTCGAAAGAAAGAATAATGCGTAGAAAAATAAACAGAAAGTCTGGCAGGGGTTGCAAAATTAAAAAACGGAAAAATAAAATTAAAAAGTAAAAGAAAACCAAAAACAAAATATAATATTAAAAGAATAAGAGCAAAATAAAGGAAAACAAAAAGGGATGGTAAAAAAAAAAAATCAAAAAATCAAAAACTTTTGCAAAAACGGTCGTAAAGACAGTAAAAAATAAATCAAATTTCACCAAAATGTAAATTACAGGTCCAAAAGAAACGTAGAGTGTCAGAAAAAAAGTTTCGTGGTAAATCACCAGTCAAGAAAAAGTCAGAGCGAGCAGATGAATTCTCACTACCAAATAGGCGAAGAACCTCCAAATTTATAGAGATTTGGGAGGCTCAAAAGGATCGGGGACTTTTCCCTCCAAAATCCTGATTTAAATTTCCTGGCCCCTTCATTGGTCAGAAAATATATTCTTATTTCTGATAAGAAACAATGCTTTGGGAGCCGGTTTTGAAAGTAATGAAAAAGGTTGAGGTGAACAAGCTGTGAGGTTTCCCCCAGACTTTATGGCACCATGGAAAGAATAAAGGTGGTAGAATTCCTTTTTATATTTTCCAACTCTCTTGTTAGAAAATATATTCTTATCTCTGAATTGGGGTCCGGTTTTGAAAGTAATGAAAAAAGTTGGAGTGAGGATTAGAAAAATAGGTTAGAATGTGAAATTGTAAAATATTGCATTCGTGGTTCTAAAATTAAATTCCAATACTGTGAAAGACTGAATCACTGCGGATTGGTATCCGAATTGTTTGCGTTTTTTTTTCTTACCGTTAAGCTAGGTCATACATTACTTATTTTTTATCTATCTATTTAATTTTAAATATGATCGAATCTGAAATCGACAAATTCTTGTTTCAAACCACACCATTAGGGGGAAAAGGGATTTATTTAATGAAAACGAACAAAACTGAAAAAATAAAGGTAAAACGAAAACCGAACGACGAACAAGACCTTACTTCAAAATAAATGCAATAATGCTCGAACTTCTTTTTTAATGAATGATTTCGTGCAAGAACCTAATACACACTTAGCTTATATGCTCGTAATAGGAGCCATAAACAAAAAAGGTTTTTGTGGTTGACAGAAAAATTAACAAGAATATTGTCCACTCAAAAGGGCCATAAAAATCAGACATTTCTCGTGTGGAAAATACTTTACCCACAACTAAAGAAAGATATCGAGACACACACACACACCATGATATTTTGTGTAAAATATCAGGGTCAGCATAGGACAAGGATAAAATGCTTAGCGTTTTTTGACTACGTTTTTATTCCAGTTAGTGAAATCCTGGCCGGGATTTCGCATAAAGTGGAATTCTGACATCAATCCCATTTCCAATTGTTTGAATATCGAGGTTCAGAAGCTGCTGGTCATCGACTCTGGAAGAAGACCACCATGCTAGTATTAGCAAGAACACTGGTCATCTCAGGTAAGAGTGACGAGATTTCGTTCAATCTACTTCAACTATGAAAAAGGAAGTTGTAAAAGCCTCACCTGCTATCTCTGATCTAAAATTCCTGTCATGCGCACAAGCACACACATTCATCCTCAAATATTCCTGGATTCTCCACTGTCAAAATCGGTTGTGCTAGTGTGGTTTTAAAAAAAAATGATCTCATTGGCGTCTGTACGTAAAAAGTCTCGTGTGAAAGCGATATATTGTTTATTTTAAGCTGGCAAAAGAAATTAACGCGGAATCACGGCGTTCATAGGACGGGAGTTGAAAAGAATAAGATGGAGTGTACGAAAGACGGTGAGAGAAGAGGAATTTAGTCTACAAAAAAGCTAAAAATATGGAGTGTACGAAAGACGGAGAGAGAAGAGGAATTTAATTTACAAACAGCAAAACAATACGTGAAATACAACATCTACGTTTCGTCACTCAGAATTAACGTCTGCTAAGGAATTTTAAGACAGTTTTTTCGAATTTAAACAACAAGCTATTTCGGCACATACATATAAAGCACCGTGACGGTATGGAGGGGAATCGAAAAGTAACTGTCGATATGGTGAAAACATTTAGTGGCGAAGGTGATTTGATGGCCTGGTTGGCGAAAGTGAAATTGGTAGCGAGACTGCAAAAAATCCACGACCTCGCAAGTTTTATGACTCTGTTTTTAGAAGGAGACGCCCTGGCCTTATATCTCCAATTGACCGATGAAGATCAACGGGATGCAAAGAAAATAGAGGCTAAGTTAAAAACAGCCTTTACGGACGGAGTTTTTTTCTGCATATGCAAAACTAGTGAAGACGCGATGGAGCGGCGAAGCCGTTGATGTGTATGCAACGAAAATACAACGACTGGCGGAATTAGCAGGGTTTGAAGGAAGTGGACAAGAGCAGATCGTGAAGCTCACGTTTGTCAATAGGTTCCCGGAAAGTATTTCGGTGCTACTACAGCAGCTGCCAAATGTGGAGAAACTAGAACTGAATGAAATAATTTCAAGTGCCAGAGTGCTTACAGCCACTGGAGACCAGAAGTAGTAGCGGTCGCAGAACGAGAACCTAAACAGCGTGATGGAAGACCAAGAATGATCAAACCGTTTAGTGGCAAATGTTATAACTGCAAGGGTCCTCACTTGTTGAAAGACTGTAGGAACCAATCAAGGTGACCTGCTATGGATGCGGCAAGCAGGGACATTATGTAAAACACTGCCCACAGGGAAAAGATCAGGGGGCAACGGTGCGCCGGCGGTTACCCTTCAAATCAGCAATGGCGCAAACCAGAACACTACCAACAATAGAAGCACAAATAGAAGGCATGAGAGCTAAGGCCTTAATTGATACTGGCAGCAACGCAACATTAATCCGGTCGGGTCTTTCGACTGATTGTAGGAGTACAAGTACTGTAAGAGTAGTGGATGGACGGGAAGTTGTGTGCAGAGGGATCAGCACAGTGACGTTGGAGGTATGTGGACAGTTACTGAGAATCGAGGCAATTGTGATGGAAAAGATCATTGATGGTGTTGATGTCATTGAGGGCATGGATGTTATCCGCCAGCTTGGAGGGGTAACCGTCTACGGAAATGGTAACGTGGAGTTCAGAGGAGGAGATTGTGCTATGAACATACAACCAAACAGCAAGAGTAGAAAAAAAATGCAATGCGAAGTGTTAGATAAGGACTTTGGTGCAAAATTTGATGGAAAGAAGTGGACCGTGGAATGGAAATGGATTTCAGAACCCCCAATATTAAAAAACAACGTTAGTCACTATCATGCTAAATTGAGTAAGGAGAAGAAGGTCGAGTTCGACAGTGAAGTTAAACGGTGGATTGAGGAAGGAATCTTAACCCCGTGGGACCAGGATGTTCAGACGGGAGTGCTACTCTTAATGGCGGTGGAACAACCCACAAAAAAAGATCAGGCCAGTTCTCGATTACCGAGAACTAAATAAATACATTATATGTCATTCTGGTGGGGATGCAATTGACGTTTGTGGAGAAACAATGAGGAAGTGGAGGCAAATGACAACGGCATCAAAAATTGTTGATCTAAGGTCCGCATATTTGCAAATCCATGTCGCGAGACATCTGTGGAAGTACCAGTTAGTTCGATACGAGGGACAGACCTATTGTTTAACGAGGTTGGGTTTCGGGCTAAATGTAGCCCCGAAAATTATGTCAAAAATCCTAAAAAATGTGCTAACAAAAGCGGAACACATCGGAAAAAACACAGATTCGTATATTGATGATATACTAGTGGATGAAACAGTGGTACCAGCGGCAGACCTTGTAAATCATCTTAACAACTTTGGCTTAACAGCAAAGCCACCAGAATCATTAGAAGGAGGAGCAGCGTTGGGTCTTCGGCTTCATACGGATAAAGCAGGAGATCTGGTATTTGCGAGAGGGAATGACCTGCCGGAGGTGCATGAGGAAATGAGCAGACGTGAACTGTTCTCTGCCTGCGGAAAAATGGTGGGCCACTACCCAATAGCTGGATGGCTTAGAATCGCCTAAATCTGGCCAACGTGAAGACACTGTGCCACACAGAGCAGTTTACACATACCAATGGAGACATCCTAGAGTTGCACCATGTTTAACATGCTCTGACGGCCCTGAATCTATACGGATTGGAGAGGAGGTTTGGGTCAAGCCAACTGGAGCCCGCTGCACGACAAAATGGACAAGAGGAATGGTTACCGGGGCACAGTCGCGCAACAATGTTGAGGTGGACGGTATGCCAAGGCATATTCTTGACCTAAGAGTGATTGAAGAGGATTTAGAGAATGAAGGAGAAAATTGGAGCAGTTCTCATGAGGCTCAGCCCCAAACACTGCAGAAATCGCAAAGAGAGCGACACTCGCCCAGATGGAAGGATGATCATATAACGTGAGATGTGATCATGAGATCAGGGGGGCGTGTGGTTTAAAAAAAATGATCTCATTGGCGTCTGTACGTAAAAAGTCTCGTGAGAAAGCTATATATTGTTTATTTTAAGCTGGCAAAAGAAATTAACGCGGAATCACGGCGTTCATAGGACGGGAGTTGAAAAAAATAAGATGGAGTGTACGAAAGACGGAGAGAGAAGAGGAATTTAATTTACAAACAGCAAAACAATACGTGAAATACAACATCTACGTTTCGTCACTCAGAATTAACGTCTGCTAAGGAATTTTAAGACAGTCTTTTTTAATTTAAACTACAGCTAGCACCGATGAGAGTCTGTAAGAGAATGGTGAGTAGTGGGAAAAAAGTGAAAGAAAGATTCAAGCAGCAGGATCTCGCTTCCTTTTGGTTTTCAGATTCAATGATAAAGACAGTTCCGGAGAGACCTCATAGTCTTAAGCAGCGTCAATCTTCGTTGGCCAGGTATGAGCAAAAAAGAGAGGTCCACATTTTCAGGAAGAAAATGAGCACGCGGAAAGAAGGGACGGGATGGATGGATGGATGGATTAGTTGCTTCGTCTTCCAAATGCAAAAAAAAACAAAAAACAAAACGAACAACAAACCCATCAAATATACACTGCCTCTTTCCCAACCCTCACAGTCACAAATTCCTCCGCTCAGTTTACGAGGGTAAGTCAAAATTATATATATATATATATATATATATATATATATATATATATATATTTTATCAATGAAATGATGTGGTGGGGGATGATGACCTCGAAAAAGAAAGAATGATGTTAGTAGGATCCGTCTACCCTACAACCACTGTATTCTGCCTTCGAACAAAATCAGGAGGCTCTCTTGCTAAGGGAGAGGGAAAGGATAAAAAGTTATGGGCATTAGAAAATTCAAAAAACTGACCCATTTGAGATGAAAAGGGCGGTCCTAATCCAACTGAGGAGGTTGGAAATCTCGACTTGGATCATAAGAAAAACAGAAGCCTGGAACAGGGCAGGAACAACACTTACTCACATTAACTAGGTAGACTTGGAAGAGTCTATCTTAACCAGGGGAGGGCTCCTCAGGAAGGTGCCCCGTTGTGAATTAAGGGGACTTAAAAAAGAAAACCAAGGCTATCCCTGTTCAGACAAACCAAGCACGCAACAGTTACTCACATTTCGTTGAAATCTGTCAGTACCAACCACTTTCTATCAGTTCTAATCTTCATCCTGAGCTGAAAGAATCTGATCAGATCTTGATGCGAATAGCGATCGCATCGCAAGATTTCCTCCATTCGCGTCATGGCCAGCAGCGTCAGAAAAACCATCCGTTTCACCCTAGAATACGGAGGCGACAAAAGCGTATGCGCTATCAATGAGCACAGACTTTTCGGGAGCGATACAAGCCATCAACTTGCCAAGGACAGTGGTAGAAGGCATGCGAAGCAATTTCCTCTAAGCCAAGATCACATTATTGACAGTTTGGCAAATCCGCCAAGCCCCATCTGAACGCTACGATTCCGAACCAATCGCCAGGTAAGCGAAAACTCAGGCGCCAATGACAAACCGAACCGGCCGCAAAGAGGATCCTTCATGACCTCCTCCAGTAATTCCCGATACAAGCCTCACCTAGGCCGAGAAATATCACTGAACTGAGGAATAATACTCAAGGCCGATCGACACTTGAGTAGAAAATTCGACTGATCTCGGGGCTTACGTTTGCACCCAGCCCTTGAAACCGGAGAAGTGATGGTAAGGCGAATGGAATGCGGCCCTCACACTCCCCGTTAAGATCGAACCGCGCAGTGTAAGAAAGCCAATCTCGAAACGTGACTCGCCAAGTGTGGACATCCTAGCCCCTCATGATACGGACATTGGGCACAGACATTTCTGTCGACGTGTTACTTGCGGCTATCCACAAGAGGGAGGAGAGCAAGCGCACCATCGCCTTCTTACGTTTCTTACAGAGAGGAAGTACAACCACTCGGTAAAGGATGAGAGAAAAAATGTAAGTGGCACATGCCTCAGCCCTCTCCTTCACTGACAACCTCTCTGACCTTTGTCTATACTTCAGACCAATTTTTCTCCAGCTGGAGTCCGGGCCCGAACGACACTCCGAGAATGCAGACAGGCCCGTCCGTCCAACTAAAGAGCCCTAGAAGGTCGATGCCCTTCCAGGCACCTAACCGCAAAGCCCCCGTGACCATTTTGTACCATTCAAGCACCTTCGATGTCGTTGACATGTCATCGGCGAGCCCCACCAGGGACAGCGATTCCACGTAGGACCAGACTGCACGCCCTGTCCCTCAGCTGGCGAAGGAGGGGCGACATCAACATCAAAGCCTAAAGTAGCGGCAATAGTGGGCAACCCTGACAAACCGACCGAGACAGCGCAAAAGCACACGACTGCTTTCCGTTTACCTGCACAACAGCACTGTGGAAGCGATACAATCCACCGGCAGAAGTCAAGATGCCAAGTCAGGACCAATAACATTGCAGACTCTTCTATGAATTTTCCATTTCTTGGGGGTGATTCTATTTTATACCTGTTACCTCTAGTCTGACAAGTCACGCAGCTGTTCATATGTGGCGATCTCTTTGTAAATTTGGACCAGCAATACTTCCTATTAAGTTCATAAGTCTTATCTCCCTACATGTCCCAAATTATTGTGACACTGACTCGGAACCCTGTTCCATATTGACTTGGGTACATACAATCTTGGTCTAACCTGTTCGTCCTTACCAGAAATGTAGAGCAACCCATCCTATACTATGGGCTTATCTGTCCAGGCCTTTGATATTTCCCCTGGCTCCATGACTTCTTTCGGCGCTTTAATTTTCTCATCCTCTTTATATCCCTCAATATGGATATGCCGAGTTCGAATTCCAGTCGAATTCGTTAAGTTCACTTATGAACAAATATCCTTGGAAAATGTATGAAGGACATAGGAGTCTAAAACAATTCTCTATCGACATGAGTTGTTGAAAAACTCCAAGTGAATTGGTCAGTCCGAAGAGCATAAGTCTATTATGACCCAGAATGATGATATCAGTGATGATAGAAAAGGAGAAAATTTCCTCATCCTAACACTCATCAGTATAAAAAAAACGACCCTTCTACCACAAGAGAGTCAGTAGAGAACAGTAGCTCGAAGAGTAGACAAGTAGCAGTGTCTAGCCAGCGTTCCGTGAATATCGAAAACAGACGATTTAAAACACCATTCTCACAAACGAAATTCTCGGAACCAAACCAAATAAGCACTGACTTTTAAACAAAAGAGACACTGAGAACAATTTACACACACTATACCAATATTCAGTAATTCACATCACAAAAAGAAAAGAAAATTCTCGTGTCTCAAGTTTTTATTGTTATCGTTGTACGTTTTATGCATTCTAATTTATGTCATTAACATCAACCCTGTTACGCCCAACTTAATATTAACGCCGTTACAAGTCCCACGTGAAACTACCTACTTGACCTCAAATCGAGGTGAGAAAATTAGGTCGTTTTCCCAAGAAATGTCAGGATGTCTTCAGTTAGCGGAAGTGGGGAAGTCAAAGGCTTGGTGACGTTATTTAATTTATGAAGTTGTATTCGATACGGCCTTTAATTTGATAGGCGGATGATCAACCGTATCAGTTTTCATTTTCACTATCTGGATCTGGCTTAACTCCGTGTCTAAGTTAGCTACTATATTTTTCTTTTTGCTAATTATATCATCTTTACATTGTATCTACTGGGCGCAAATATTTCTTCCCCTCTGACTACTGCATTTATTTGGCCACTCCTTACATTCTCTACATACTACCTCCTCCCTAATGTTTGACATCGCAGCCATTCCTACTTCCTCTCCCTTGTAGATTTTTATCGTCGTACTAACGATATTCGCCACCTTAATACGACTCGCACCACCAATCTTCATCACAGGTTCTAATAGAATAATCACTGCCTCTCCGAGGAGGGACTCCATAGCTGATAGATTTCCCCATGCTCTATTCTATTCTGCCTACCATCAGTATGGCTAATGCTAAAAGAGCAACACTTTGCGCCTTCTTGGGCTTACATTTTCCACTGACATAAAATGGCGTGATTATATTAAATCATTTGTTAGTTCTACGGTTAGGTAAGTTGGTTGACTGTGTCATGCGAAACAATTTTTCTCATCAGAATCCATCTTGCATATTTATAAACCTACCATTCATCAGTGCATTGAATATCGTTGTCATATCTGGTCTGGTGTTCCTGCTATTCGTTTCGAGGGTCTTTATAAAATCCGAACAAGGACCTGTAAATGTAATCGATTCTGACCTGGCATCTCGACCAGTCATCTTCTCTTCCTGTCTTTTCTACAAATATTTTTATGGCAATTTTGCTGATGAGATTTTCTCCTTAGTGTCTCAATTGCAGGAATTTAAGTATGCTCCAGATTGGCAACGTTTTACTGCTGAACTAGCTAGATGCACCTGTCACTTCTAATAGTTTTTTTTCTCGCCTGGGGATACTATTTTAGGTTTTTATAAAATTATGCTGTAAATAAATAAATATCGATAGAGCAGATATTGATACCTCGCCTCGCCCTGTCTGCAAGTGGGTCAAGAATCCCAATATTTTTGGGAAAATCATCAGAATCCCAAGCATAAGTAGAGGCTTTGAAAAAAAGCGCGAATTTAGCAATTATCCTCATTTGAATTAACTTAGCATATGATTATTCGGATGTGGTAGTACATAGGATTATATTTGGAAGATAACCTTAGCAATGATTGGTTGGATTTATTAGAAAAACTAACTTACCAATATGGGGATTTCACTAGTGTTGCAGATGCCACAAAAGGAAAAGTAGGAAGAGAGAGAGAG